TAAGTACTTTTCTGTTCTCATTTCTCATGTAACTAGTTGCACAAATCATTACCCAGCAATATAACTACCCTTTTATATGCTAGGTGACCCGCATACTGTCAACACATGAGTGTTAGCAACCATAGCGTAGCTTAGCCTAGTTTAGCATAAAGTCAGAAGACAGGGGAAGCAATTTTCTAGACTCTGACTTAATGTGTCAAAACCTGCCTCTCAGCATCTGTAAAGTTAAATAATTTGTTTAAAAAAATATGTTTAAATAAGTTTGGTTGGAAAAGGAAACAAAAATACTCTCAAAGCTGCTTTAATTTATATTTACAGTTACCCTGCTGCTTTCTCAAAAGCTCCAAACTGGGAAGCGATACCTTTCTACACGTTTAAGTTTCTCGGGGCAAGGCCACATTCATTTCCATGTAGCACACAATAAACCAAAGCTCCATAAATAATTTATGATAAACTCACAGTTTGTTCTCTCCTTGAATTACAGTTGCTGGAATATTAATATGTGCAATTAATCCAGCCCACATGTTGCAGTTGTTGTAGTTACAGGAGAAACCAGTTTGTAGCTTGAGCCAAATTAACCTAAAAATGAATCCAAACATTTCCACTGTGGTGAAATCAATTTTAAAGTGTGTGTTTGTGTGTGTGAGTGACTTTAATGCTGTGCAGCTTATGGCAGCGAGTCGAGTGTATCCTCTTCCTGCAACCCTTGTACAGTGCCCTATCTGCCTCTAAGCTACTGGTAGTGCCAGTTTCATCGCTCAGCCACAGTGCAAGTGTAAGAAAGTAGAAAACACTGATTTATTTCTTTTGTTAAAGTAGGAATGTCCTGCCTGCTTTGCTCCAAGTCCTTTATCTCAACACGCTGACATCAAAACGCTGCTTCTGTAACTGCATTTCCCAGTTAAATAAGCTGCTCTGTCTCTATCTCTCTTTCTTCTTTCTAAATGCCCCCGGCAGGTGCTGCAGCTGCGATTTCGCCACCACCAACATGAACAGTTTAAAGAGCCACATGAGGAGGCACCCTCAGGAGCACCAGGCCGTGCAGCTGCTGGAGCAGTACAGGTGAGAAACTTCAAACACGCTCCCACCACAGGGAGCGACAATAACAATGACCGCTGGACTTCTGAGGTGAGAAGGAAGAGCTGTGTGTGTCCAGAAGAAGCTGCGTGCTGTGTTACGAACACGTGTTCTGATCGAATTCCCTCCAAACGCCACAGTCTGTAGTTTCAACCAGTGTCGAGGCGAAATTCCCAGAGACAAAGACGGCAGTCTGTAGGTGGGTGAAAACATAAAATTTATGCAGCCAGCTGCTCAGTTGTTAGCGATCACTCTCCAGCCTGAAAATCCAGTCTGTGGTCAGGAGGACTGATGCTCCTTATCACCAATCGTTGTCCAGCTCATCTGATCGGTCTGCCCAGAGTTTCACTGGTGAAAT